AGATTGACACTCCTGCCCAGCTTGGTGTCGTCAGCAGAATGATTATTCTACTATATTAAGCTCAACATTATCACTTTTTAAAGCAGCATGATCTAACAAGCAAACAAAGCACAGGAATGGGACGTCTGAGCTGCTGCCCATCGTGGCAGGCAAAAGGGCAAGTAGGAAATGCCCCTTCTGCATCTGCTACAGCAGAACGAGGTGGCTTTCAGTAGAGGATGATCCCCCAAACTGGTTTCCAACCTCTCTGGCTACAGATTTTTGGATTATTTTACTTTAATTCTTAGATATGTGCTGTAAAATAATACACAGCAGACAAAACACTGAAGGGTATTTTAGATATATTACCAATATTTTAACTTAAACTACAGGTGACCTGAAATGTCTGTGTCATAACAACCTCCTCTTAATGCATTGCTTTCAATAAAAAAATTCAATTTCTTGCATAAATTGCTGCTTTCAGGGCATTGCATGAAGAGTACTTTTCCTGTTATTTTCTGTGTGTATAATTTTATTTGAACTGTAGCGTAATTTAGCATTATACAATCAATTGTAAAATTCTAAGTATTTTAAGTTAAAAAAGACTCAAGATAAATTAAAAAGAAAATACTTTTAACTGCTTTGTTTTAAAAGCTTTAAGTTTTAGTGAAAACTTGCAACTTCAAAACTGAGCAGAACTAGAAACTGTTTATTAGATTTTTCCAACCCCCCCAAAAATGTTCACTCAACTGGAATTCCAACAGAACTAAAAGTATGATTAACAAATCAGTTCAATTAAGATAGTACAAAGATCTCACCATCACACTCTGGGTTTCAGGGTTTTGGACAAGCACATCTGTGTAAGCAATGCTAAGTAGAGGAGGGTAGATAGTTCCCCTCTGAGTATGGGATACCAGACGAATACTGCAGAAATAGAGAGTATTATTTTTAATACAGAAAATGGATGAGTTGCTTGGAAAATATTGACTGAAACTTGTACTACCAAGAAAATACTAAATGAACAGAACAACCTGATCAACAAAATGTAAGCTTCAAATCCAATGACATGGCAATTCACATTTTAAAAGCAACCAGTGTACAAAGGCAAGTACACAAATATATAAAACAAAAAGCTGGGAAGGATTGCTTATTTATAAGAAAATACCTGAATCAATCTTTACCTACTGCTCACATTATGATAGCTGCAACTGAAGTCAATTCCAAAAGGTAACTTTTCTCAAAACATTACAGAATGACCTTTTCTACATTTATTTTGAATTTCTGGCATTATCCTTTTTTCCAAGGCAGTGTGGGAGGGGGTTCTCCTAACATACATAAGCTAATCCTTATTTTTTGAAATAATGTAATATGTAATTCTCAGCAAATGGAGTTAGTACATTAAATTAATCTTCAGAACGATCACTTGTATGGCTCAGTACTCAGTGCTGCTCAGCAATCTTTTTAAGTTGTGAAGAAGAACAAAAGGAAAAGGGAGATCTCAAATTTTAGACAGTGATCTCAGAGGAAGACATTACGTAAAGGAGGAGAAAAAAGCGTTCTTCCAAAACACATTCCAGTTGAGAGGATCTATCAGTAATGACTCTAACAGGTAGTCTCACAATTTCAGTTAAATGACTACAAGCCTATTCTGGATTGTACAACGGAATAGGCAACAGTTTGTAGAAATACTGGAAAAAAGAATATGGAGTATGAAATAGCATCCGTGTATAGTCAGTAACATATACACTGAAAAAGAATTAACAGAGGAGTTTTTAGGTCTTTCCAGACACCTGCTTCTAAGAGGTGACTGAATACCTGCTAACTTGCATTATGCATACATAGGCTGATCCATTTTACCTGGAAAGTAATCACAGTAATTTTAAGCCCCACAAAGTCAATGTTATGTTTTCTCATTCACTCATCAGAACAACCTATGGAAACTTTTGCTATTTCCAACTATGCAATGGAAAAAGAAGCACAAGACATATTAGAAACAACACAATAAAACAACTTTCTTTTAAGACAATAAAATGCAGACTGCACAAAATTGGCTTTATTTTCTATGGACTATATATTATATGCAATTAATCACCTTACTGTTATTTTGCTAGCAATTCGAATTACTCTTGGTAGTTTTCCCAAGTCATTCTCTCTTCCACTTAGCGTATCCACCAAAAAAAATCGACGAGTCAAAAGCCAGTTGTTCATATTACTGCCTTTGAAAAAATGTGACAGTCACATAATATTTAAAAACTAATGCAACACACAAAAAGAATGAAATCTACTAGAAACGATACATATAACTGTATGATACATATAATTGTATTCAGGATGGAAAATTATTTATTTTCAACTTAAACAAATACATAATGAAACTAGATTACTTTATTTGTGCATATGGTTGATTGGGACAGTGTATGCAACCAAAGCTTGCATTTAACACTATCAGAACTTGCCCACAAAATATTAAATTCTTAAAACAGGAACAAGTTATGGTGGGTTGTGATATCTTTAAAAACAACTCAGTAATAGTAATTAATACAAATTCTTTCTATTTGAAGTTATTCAGATTATTTAAATTCACAGAAATGTTACTATGACAATCTTACCTTGATTAACAAACATTTCACTGTACTGAAGATTCAAGTTTAAAACTGGCACGGCCCAAAGATATTGTTGTCCATTGTCACCATTATATTCAAGGAAAAGGTCATAAAAGATTGGATTAGCAAAATCCAATAAAATCTTGGAAAGTGAAATTTTGCACTACAAGAAAAAAATGTTAAAATAAAAAGATCACTTTAGCCATTTAATGATTTTATCAAGTTGTGAATTCTTCCCCTACAATATTACTGTGGAATCTGTCCCATTTCGTTGAAAAAGACAAGGCATTCCAGCTATTTGCAAGCAATTACAAAGTACTAATGATTTTATACAAACCTCTTGGAAATGACTCCAATTGACTAGAATGACTAATGTGGAGAATAACGCTCTGCTAACATTTTTGAACAGATTAGGAAAAAATATCCCAGCAAATTTCACAGATAAAATTTAAAACAGCATAAACACTAAAGTCAAGAAACATAAATGCTGAAGTCATGGAGTACTGTGTCTGGCTCTGGGCTCACCAGTACAAGAGAGAAATGGAGCTGCTTGATACAGTCCAGCGCAGGCCACTAAGATGATTCAGGGACTAGAGCATCTCTCCTACAAGGAAAGGCTGAAAGAGCTAAGAGTGTTTTGCCTGGAGATGAGAAGGCTCAGGGGGATCTTACCAATGTGTACAAGTATCTGTACAAGACAGAGCCAGCTCTTTTCAGTGGTGCCCAGTGACAGGACCAGAGGCAATGGGCACAAACTGAAATAGGACGTTCCCTCTGAGCATCAGGAAACACTTTTTCACTGTGAGGATGACTGAGCACTGGCACAGGTTGCCCAGAGACGTTGTGGAGTCTCGCTCCTTGGAGATATTCAAAAGCCGTCTAGACACGGTCCTGGGCAACTGGCTCTAGGTGGCCCTGCTTGAGTAGGGGATTGGCCAAAATGACCTCCAGAGGACCCTGCCGACCTCAACCATTCTGTGATTGTGTGAAGAAATTAAATGTGAAAGTAGGTAGTTTTTCGCATATGTGAACATGCAGTCTTTAAATACTCATATAGCATGTCCACCATGTTTTCTTCAAAACTGTAAGAAAAAGAAAGTGATGCATACAATCCATGAAAATAATTACATTAAAAAATACCCATTAAGACAATATTTATTGGTATTTGTATTTAAACCCAGTAATATTAACTGTTGTTAATACTTAACAACAGGTTCTACAGACTCAATATATCAAATACATAAGATTTTAACAAGTATGAAAAAAAGAATAACCATACTCGAACAGTTCAATGATCCTAAATAGGAAATAAGTTTCCATTCTACTGAAATATGGATTAAACAACATTAAACAATATGAAAGTGTAAAAATATTTAACAAAGAATTGTCAAAATTATTTGGTAAACACTTTAGTTTTCAAGGCCTAAAGCTTTGACAGCTATTACACTACAAGACTTTCACACCACCCAAATAGCAGCCAGGGTTTATATAATTTTACACTGCAACACATAATGTGGGGAATGGTTTTGAATGTAGATGAGTTAATAAATAATATTAATGGATATATAGGTATTAGATGCTGCAAACACATATGGAGTTTTATAAAAATAAAGATGTTATTTCTCCACACCCCCGCCAAAGAGACTACCACCTCCCCATTTAACACATAAGTGACAAAAATTAATGAAGCTTTATTGCTGGCAGAACCGTGTCTGTGGCTGACTGAATTTAGCACCTAAGTATACACAAGCTCAAGTGCTCTATCCCTTCTCCCTTTCCTGGTGTTTAGAAAGGGGTGAAAACTCCAATAGTTTTTCCCATAGTTATGACAGCTAAAGAATCTCTTTCCTCTGATGAGTTATCTGTTCAATTAAAACTTGCCTTCAATCTCTTTACTGAATTCACTGAAACCAGGGAATACATTAAAGAGTTAATGGGGACAACATACAGGCATGGCGTGATTGCATATGCCTTCTTTCCATATGAAACCTGGCCAAAGATGGAGGCAGGAAAATTAGAAGTTACAATGCAAAGTATATGACTGTCAGAATTCAGGCATTATGTTCTCCCACTGGTAAGTCAGCAGCTTCACTAGTACAAATGCCAGTTCAATTTATTTTGATTATCCTATGTAGTAAACAAGTTTTGTGATGTATAGTTAAATAATTTTAAAAAACCACATTTATTTCACTCAATAATAAAGAAATTAAAATAAGCAACAGTTTCACAAGAAAGAAGTCCATGTTGCAGCTTTTGGCTAAACTCCAAAGGTCCTTCAATATGCACTGAATTACTGATGATGTATAAAGCAACTTAATTCAAAATTCAGAATAGCATTTTATCTCTTACTTACACTTTGCTGGTAAGTTGTTCCAAATGCATAAGCTGCATTCAATTTAGTTTGGGTATCAGGACAAAGCTGAACAAAACATAATTATAATTAGGTTAACTCAAAGGTATCATTTTCTCACATGAAAATATTCACAGGTACCCCACGCAGTTTATGTATTCACATAAATTCTCACAAAAGATATTTTGTTCTATTTTTTAAGGAGAGAAGGATTGATTTTGAAGAGTAAACACCTTTATTTATTGTACTAATATTGGTGTTCTTAAAATGCTGTTTTAGCTTATTCATACTTGCATAGTATTTTTCAGTTCCATCACTGAAGTTGAAATCTGTGGACAACAGCATCCAACCAGGCAAGAATAACCTTTCAGGGGACTGAATGTTCAACTCACTGTGCTGTCTCAAGCTTTATTTGTGGCTTCTGCTAAATCCAAGAATCCCATGAGAAAAGAACTCCGCATTCATATTGCCCCCTTTCTCTTAAGCTAGCATTCTCAGAGGATCAAAGTTATCACAGCAAGTAACAGATTTTTTTCTTCCTTTTTCAACGTAACTTTTACATTTTCTGCAAAGAACAAGCCATTCTAAGCAGAACCAAGAAAAATGGGCCAAATTCTAACTAAATGAACACGGCACTTAGTGGAGGGCATAGCCATTTTCCCAAAATGAAAATCAAGTCTAAATTTACATAAACCACAATTCTATTAGTGTGCAACTGAAATTCTGGGAATTGCTAAAATTATGCATTGAGGTTGCTTTAGCACTGCAATGTCTTACCATCACACACAATCTATTACATTACATAAAAGAGGCTTTGAATGGAAAAACTATTCCTTTCCCATTGATTTTTGATAGCTACTAAAAGCTCTGCATTCAGTAAATTAATGTGTCCCAATAAACCTGAAAATCTATGTCAGAATGACTCATTTTCTATGCACAGTTATTGGCTTAGTAACCTGTTTTCTCAGACACTAGTTCTCCTTAAAATTTGAGAGGCAGATGCAAGACAGTTCATCCTGAGACAAAACCAAAAGTCACTATTTAAATTCTGAATGTCAGCTGCTCTTCTGTAGAGACTGGAGCATTTGAAGTGATGTGCTCCAAGAGCGACATGAAGAGCCTAGAAAAGGGGACAGACAATTCCCAATTGTTCTTGCTATTGTTGCCAGCCTAGGAAATTGCTGAGAGTGCCTAGATCAGCACTGGACTGCTAAACAAATTCTACTCTGTAACATGTTTCACAGCTGCCAGTTTCTGCTAACTGTTAGGCTAATTACTATTGTGCTTTCCACTTGCTTCTTCCTTGCATTTTTCACACCCTATACAGCATCGTACTGCTGAAGTAGAATGTGTGTGTGTCACTGAAATCTGAGGGTAGAGTGTCCAAGGGTACTGTGAATCCTCTAGCCAGTGTTCCCCAATTCTATGTAAAGTCTCGCAGCAAGTTTTTATAACTTTCTGTTATGAAAAAACCAGGCAGATGCTGACCAAAGTGTGTATTTTATATTAAAACCAAAAGAAATAAACAAACAAAAAATCCCAAGAGAACGGAAAGAAAATGGTGTAGTAGATCAGTTTTCCTACCTTTCTTGATAGTGACATAATCACTGATTTGCTTGGCATCCCCATAATGTGTGAAAACAGGTGACAACATCCAATAGGGACATGTTGCCAGAATTTTCTATAAATGTATGTGGACTGAGAGCTAAAGAATATACTTTTCTCACGAAGAAAAGGAGGGCTAATAATAAATTATATACATGGGTAACTGTATGCTGATTGGAAGAATGAGATAGTTGGCTCTAAATGACTACTGCTGTTTTTCAGAGCTTTCCAATATTCCAAATTCATATTGGTCCAATGGATGAGGGCAATGTTGCTGAATGTATACTTTTGATTTTGTAGAGATTATCATGAGCAAGAATCAAGAGCTATTTTCCCTAATCTAGCTCTATGGTTATCTTATGAACTGTCACTACCATAGTAACCAAACTCTTGGCTTTTGTCTTAATTTGGCTAAGGACAATCAGAACGTTATGGAATCAAGAAAAGATAATTAAAATCAAATGTACCTGTAAGATGCCTCCTTCCAAATTTTGCCACTTAAGAAAGTTTCCTGCTGCATCAAATGAGGCTGCAATAAATTGCAGCTTTACATCCTGATGATGAAAAAAGATAAAGAAACAATGAAACTGCCATAAAATGGACACAAACATTTTAGGGACTGCTGTCTCATCATTTGATGCTTCCCTAAAACTTTCAGCATAATGCTTCATTTTTTCCCTTTGGTTTTATGTTTTTAATCTTGGTTTTGGTAGTTTACTTTTTTTAAAAGACATACTTCATAATTCTACAGCTTCGTTGGTGACATGGAAAAAGTTCCAAAGGAACTTCTATACAGGTAGACATGCCCTAAATTAATCAGAAATCTCGCAGATTTCTACTGTATACCAGGCTGGGATCTTGAGGGCTTCCAGGACCTTCAGTGTTAGGAAGAATAATGAGTATTTTAGTTGTTAAAACAGAAGCTGCATTGCAACACTGTTTAATTTAAAACACAACCTTTTAGAACATGGCTGAAAAAAAAGATTATTTTATTTCTGAGTCAATAGGAAAACTTAAGATAAATTTGGCAGTATAACCGACAAACAGGTTATTACTAGCACTATTTACTTGCTGTGACTAGCTTAGCCTGAATAAACTATTCCAGTTATTCTAATTTTGCAATAAATCTGTAAAATAAAACGCATTACTGTTTGATTTACTGTTTGATTCCTTCTTAGAACTGTGGCAGTCAACAAGCTGCTTAAGGAGTCCATCCCTCCCAGGGAAGGATACCTGGCTTTGTTAACATTGAAATGATTGTTTTTCCTCACCTCTTTTTTTTTTTTTCCCTAATTCACTGTAGGAACAGGAAAAGGCTGGATCCATCGCTGATACAACTCAATTTGTAGAGATTTGTAACAGAGATATTAAGGTTGGTATAAATGAAGGATGGATAGAAATGTGCGTGTAAGCACCAGAAGCAACAGAAGGAAAGGGTTAAAGACTGCATAGCAATAATGAAGAACGCTGTTCCCAGCAATCAAGTTAAGAAATGGGTTCTGATAAAACCATGGCACAGACAACTTGTCAGCAAAAGATCATGTACCTTGGCACCAAGAGAATGGCAGCAAAGTTACAGTACATCACATATACCCCTCTTTTTGCAATTAGCTCACCAGGAAAACTGACAAAAGGATATATGTATTTCAAACAAGGGAAAAAGACAAAGACCAACATTGCTTCAGATTTATGGATACTGAAAGAAACAAGACTCTGAAGCAAAGGATAATGCCAAAACAACTATTAACTCCTAAGAGGTATAAAAGATTTGTCTAATTACTAGTTCTTCACTGCCAATCCAGAATAACCTTGGGGACATAATGAGAACTTAATAGCTGGCATCCCTTGTTCCGTGTGTCACACACAATTGATCCCGGTCAGACCACGCAGGCAAGCACATCTTGGCCTTATGAGAATGTGAGTATGAGAGAGTGAGCAAACTAGATGTGTGAACAAGTGAGTGTAAGTCAGTAAAATCATCTTACCTAGAGATTTTTTACATAAATATCACCTTCCTCTTCCGTAAGATCTCACACTCAGTTTTGTTACACTAACTGCCTAAAAATTATCTTTAGTGGAGCCATATCTGCAATGAATCTAAACCTCTCTATGTGATTATGGCCTCTTCCAAATGTCTGTTTCCCCATGTCTACTATCCAACACCTACCTTATCTGTTCCTTCAAAACTGAAGATTGTAGGGACATGATTTGCCTCAAGCACTTGGGATGCTAATCCTGGTTGATCACCGTAATATAGCCATGGAAGATTATGCCTCCTGAAAACAATTACAGTGTTTTCTCTTAAGAAACATAACGTTTTGCATCAAAGAACATTTAGAATAATAATTTCCATAAAACACTATTAAGGACAAAGTTGTGGAAAAGGCAGCTTACCAGAAGGCTATTGAATGAACAATGCCTAGCCTTGCTGTATTGACATAAATATACTGAAATAAACCACAGGCATCAGTACTTGAAGAACTCAGTGAGTTCATATTCATTACACACATATTTCCAAGAGCTTGGCATGCTGTTAGATTGGAGTACAACTGCAGTGGAGAAACACAAGAACACAGAAAAGTATTTATTTACCCTTCCTTTTGGTGAGGCAGTCATAAAATTAATGTTATCTTTAATAAGCCACTCCTAAACCCTCATTTTTACTTGAAAGTGATTTCACTTTGTCAACACCTAATGTTTTCTTCCAGCTATTCAGGTTCCATATTTTTATAGGTCTGCAGATGGTAGCATGAAATCAATGCTCTCACTTTTTCAGTTTATTTTAGTTGCATCAGCTAGATGGTATGATGTGACAGAAATGTCAAAATCTGCATTTAGAAAACGAAGTAAGAATCAAAATGTTTAACATCACTTAGGCTGTATGACAAAGATGACTCCATCAAAGACCTAAGACTGACAACTATAGTTGCATGCATCGTAAATATCTTCTTTTCAGTTTTAGTATCTTTTCTATTTTGCCGTTCCTAAACTATGTTGTATTTATACCATTGTTCCATTTTGGTAAACAAACCACTGCCATGTGATAGGCAGAAGCGATGCCTGGCATCTGTGTGCAGTGATCACTGCACTAGTATTAACTTGCCAACACGTATTGCCTTTGTGTGGGTCAGATCAGCAGCTGCATGTTACACTTGGGCAGCGCCCTGAAGAGCTGAGCAGGCTGAGGCAGACAAACAGGATAAACTTATGTAAGTGATGAGGATAGTCTCAGTTTGTAAAAAAAAGCTAAAAAGGATAGTTCTATGGTTATCCTTCTCCATCACAAAACAGAATGATTAACTGAAAGCCAAATAAGAAGTAAAGACCAGCTGCCAATCAATAGTGAATATGTAAGAAGTTAATTTTCTGAGTGATCCCTTACTGGATATACTCAATAACAGTTCACATACCTACTGACTATTGCAGGATTTTTTGTTACCACCATTCACCTTGTGAAGATTCCAACCCTGGAGACTTGCATTAGCATTGACTAGCGCTCAACATCCTTTCTAAACACTCTGTATATATATTTCTTTCTTACCTACTGTCATCTCAAAATAAGATTCTTTAAAAATAAGCAAGCTAATTTCCAAAAACTAAAGTGCCATGCTTTTACACAGAGTATCGCTTCTGTACAAAAAAGAAAACTGCAAACATTAATGAAACTCACCCAACAGGCAGAGGCTGAGGATTGCAGATTTTTCAGAAACCACGCTGATGTCAGTGTTATACCCTGTAAAAAAGGAACTGCTTCACTGTCTTCGTTCAAACAATTTATCCATAACCTAACAGTCTGGAAAACTTTATCAGCTAAAATATGCTACTTATTTTTTTCTAAGAGGTTTCTGTCCTTTGTAAATGTCTAAATTAAACCAGCTCAGTTCAAAACACAACCATAATGCAATAATTTGTTTCACTTCACTAAATTAGACAAAATATACAGAACAAGAGCAGAAATATTTAACCTTTGAATATGGATTCTCTGTCAAAGGAGTTTACTGCACAAGGGAAGTACTAACGATTTCAAGGGTAAGGTGCTGTCTGGATGGTAAATTTAGCTCAGGACCAAATTTGCCAAATTAATTATTTCACAACCTGCTTTTTATAACTACTCATATCTGAACTAAACATAGCTTTCGTACATACTGTAAGCAACTGAAAAGACATGTTTTCAATAAAATATTATTTAGAAGATTGCATTTTCAGAAAATAAGACCAATATTTGCTGTCAAGAAAACTGAAGACTGCTTTTTGCTTTCTTTCAAGCAGTAGCCTTTAACTTTAATTCATTTGAGAACAAACTACATTTATTGGCCACGTACCATTTCCTGAATTCAGAACTACATGGAAAATGGTCCTAACTTCAAGCAGATTTCACAACTAATACAAGTTCATTAGCTAAAGCAACGAAAACACCTTCATTCTTCTCAATAGAATGTATTTTCAATCATTAGCCAATTCAAGGAATTCAACAATTTCATACACAATCTCAAATTGTATAGGTGTCCATTTTCTTCTATTAGCTCTAACCATCTGACAACTAAAAATGTCCTTTCAATCTTTATACCTTCTTTCAAATATTTTATATGAATACCAATTTTACATAGTAAAAAGAATAAGAAATTTAAAAAGCCCAGAGGCTCTCAAGGAGTCTTCAGCATGTTTTTATGATATACGTGTGTGTTTTAAATACATACAATTAATACAATAGACCACATACTACCTGTTTTGATACTAAATTCATGTAAATTACTTCCCTTTTTCAGTTTCCAAGAGGGCAGGAATTTTCTTAAACATATTCCATTAGAACAATGCTTGCTTAGTCTACATGTCTACACTCTGTCTTGATGCAAATTACCTTGCAATCACCGTGATCAGACAACAAACCACCACCTTTGGTTTTCAGGAATGGAATTTAAAAGACTTACTGAAAGTAAATAATGAGAGAGCTTGAAAATGTTTTAGAATAAACACACTTACTAGCTGTCCAAAACGAACAGTTGCAACTCCCTTTGGGGGTAAGCTGTCACTAGCACTGAAACACAATCCCCCAGTCTGAAAAAAAACCCAGAAATAAAAAAATGGAAATTTATACATTTGTCAACATAACTTTTCTTTTTCTGAGTTTCAATACAATAAGCATTCTTCTACTTACTAAGACGTTTGGGCTGCTGCAGTCACAAGACTTGCTTACATTGATGAATGTTTGTTCACATCTTACACACCTATGGATCACAAACATGAAGAATGCACTTAAAATGTAGTTAAGTATGAGATTTAGTACTCAGTGAAAGCTGATAACATAGTATGCCTGATAACACTGTCAGCATCTTCACTAGTTTGAACTGAAATCTAAAAGACATTACCGATTTGTTTCTATTGTCAGTGAAGTAGAAAAGAAATGAAATTATCAAAGTAAGAATCTGTTTCTGCTTCCAGTCCAAAGCCTGCTTATAGTCACACTAGAGCAAAACAAACAATCAAACCAAGCCGCTGGTCATATAAGGACTTCAGTGAACACAAAAGATACTTAGTTTGATATGGGGTTGAGGATTGCCAATTCACTGCTTTTAAAACTGTCATCTCAAAGATCCACATTGTTCCTCAAGAACATTGCATTTAAACAGAACATGACACGTTCAAATTTATCATCACAAAAGGAAAAGAATAGTCACCTATTTCCTGATGCATCTGAAGCAGAGAACGATTGCTCACTTCCATTGCAATGTATACACAATGCTTCATTAAGTAAAATGCCATCGACACTTCTTTCCACTAAGTGGAAAAGAAAAGCAACTGTGATAAAATTGCATGATGCATAGTATGTGTACGCAGGTTAAGAAAAGTATGAAAAAATAAAGTCTCTATGCAGATCTAAAATAAATGCAAAGACTTTATTAAAAAAAAAATCAAGAGCACAACTTGCAAATAACATTCACTATAAATGCACATTCATATATGTATATGTGCATTGTTTATAGCTATGCACATGCAGTCTAGTTTTAATGAGAAATGTAGTATTTCATGTCCAGTTTTGCTGTTCCTTTGACATTTATCCTGAATTCAAACCAAGGCTTCACTGCAAAGCTAAAACTCAAAATACCAAGTTTACAAATTACTGGAAAAAAATATTTCTAATTTTCATCTGAAATGATTCATGCAGATGTCACAAATTCAAAGTTTCAAAACCGCATCTTCCAGCAATTAAATAATTTGGCAAGAGATTTCAAGGCTAATTATAAAGAAAAAGAGATACAAAGAGAATCAAGACAATTACAATACTAATGTTCTTTCTGCATGTTAAATTACAGAATCAGCTTTGCTCTCAATATTTTACCATAAAGGCTCAGAATGTATTTTGTAACTCTCATAAAATTTAAGGGAGATGATTTGGTATTCACTCTTTTGCAGATTTCTTTTAAATTAATGATCTGGAAAAAGTGATTCTCCAGAATACTCTGTTAGAAATGTAACCAAAGTGCACATTAGTAATACTTATTCAAAGAATTACAGGCACATGGAAAGTCTTTTCCATCCCATGTCTTTGAAAATAAGGAAAACTAGAGCTCCCAAGAGCTTTTTTGTTTTACATCCTTTATGAAATTTATACTTTGCTCATAGTTTTTTACTATGCAAGATAAGCAAAAATATAGTTAACACAGACACTAAAGTTAATATTAATTTTCTGTGCCTACTGAAATTCATCTGCAACTATTAGAGAGCATGAAGTAAGAGACACGGATATAGGGAAGCATGTCGCAGGAAATCACAGATATAGGCATGTGTCTCAGGGAGGCATGAAATCCACGGATATTAATGCATGGCAGTTTGCTTGGCTTGCTCACGCTATTCTGTTCCACCTACTCATATATGTATAATTCCTGTACTGCAAAGTATCTACACATTATAACCTTCAAAACATTTTAATGTTTTTTCTTAGTCTATATTGACATTGTTTTTATCCAAATTTTAATGCCTCTGCCCAGTGCCAACCAGCTTAAAGAAAGTGATACACCAGTATTTATTTTCTGAATGTCTGCATAATAGTTTTTATTGCAATGAACAACGGTACAGATTTATCTGCTGTCTTTCAGGAATGAGGTTTAAGATCAAGAGGAATGTTGAATTTTTACATTAGATATGTAAACATACATTAGATTTCCTTTCTTATTTAACGGAAGAGCATGTCTTAATAGACTCAGATATCTAAACCAAGCACTAATATCTCATAACTTGCATATATTTCTTACCTAATATTTCATTATTGAGGCATTTACATTTTCCTTCTGCAGTTAGGCCTTTAGGGCAAGTAATACAATTCCACCCATCTTGAGTAACTCCGCTCTAAAATAAAACGTAAAACTATTATAATTTTCAAAAATATAGACATTACCAAATATCTGTGAAGAACGCCTGACCTAGATGTTATTTACTAGAAAATGTGTTCCGATACAACATCATCGATAACATTCATGAAGCTTTTAAAAATAAAAAAAGGCTAAACAACCTGGCAAAAGTAATTCCTATGCAGACATAAGACTAAAAAAAGTGTTCTTAAGTTTTTCTGAATGCATTGGCTAACACCCTTTAGTGAAGATAAGAGTTGATTAAAAGTGGAAGGTTTAAAAAAGATATAGACGTTCTACACTGAAAAAAAGTAATGGATAAACATAACTGCATAAATAGGCATATGTGCATATAAACATACAAAAGTAATGGAAATGGAGGAGTCTTAAGTCAAGCAGCTTATATAACTGCATGGAATTTTGCATGTACCCAAACAGTTCACATCCACACTTATGTTATAGCACGAAGTAGTTGCACTACTAATCAAAACCATTGAGGAAAACAAAGGTAACTGCTCATCCTCAGGTGATACAGATGTTACTCCCTTCTCTGCTATCATCATTTTATCTTTGCATAAACCTTGCCATAGGATCAAAGATGAATGCCACCATTACAGGAAAGAGAAAGAAACAGCAGAATCATCAAAACACCAATGGATATTTGTCAATGTCTTTGTCTAATGCAGCTAGAAAATGGAAAGAAGAGGGAAATTAGTTACATTACCCATTAGCCATTAAACACCTAACTTACGCAACTAAACTGGTCTCTTCAGAGTTCTTCTACAGTTATGGGAGAGAAGGAAGTATTCAGGAAGGCTCTCACCCTGAAAAGTTGTTTTTGCTGGAGAAAAATTATTTCTCTATTTACTATAGCAAGAAAAAGGTGCCTCTGCCTCAATGCTGTGAATATGATGCAAAATTATAGCTTGATTTGTCAAGAAAGGTAGAAAGAACTGACCCAACTACAAAGATATATATAATTAAAGTAACATAATAGCAGCAGCTCATTTTGAAGTAAAAAGATAAAATATCAGGAACTAAGAAGATACAGCCTAAATATTACAATAATAGGATTTATATAAATAATCAAATAGGATACCTCTGAGCTGCAAAGGATCTTTGGCATTCTATAAAACAGTGGTCTCCAGGCAAGGATAACATAACATGAAGCAAAAAAGAAAAGCAGTGGAAGGAAATTAAACATTTAAAATACTCTTTCTTTGTCTGTGGGGTCAAATTTATAATGAAAAAATACCTGCAAAGTAACAGTAATAAGCACTTCTAAAGAGAAAAAGATTACTACCTATAAGCATGGTCTTAAAAATTCCCAAGCAAATACTATTACGCAAACTAATTTTAAATTAATGAAAAATAACTTGCAGTCAGGAGGAAATTTAAAATTTAAAAAAGCATTATTATTATGTCAAAGTATTAAAAGTTCAATACTTACCATATTTTCTGGGCATTTTTCACAAATAACGGAGGACCCACCATTACTAGAAACCATCCTGTATCCTGGCTGACATACACATGAACTACCTGAAAAAAAAAAAACCAAATGCACTTTTAGTCTATATAAAACTGACTTTTTTTTCACAGAATACTAAGAACAACTGCTATTGTTCTCAAGAGCTCCATATAGATTATTAGACAGAGAAATAAAACATCTGAGTGAGATGTGCATAAAAATCACCTTGCTTTTTAAAAAATGTTCTTGTTACAGTTTGTACAAAGATGTTTTAGGAAAGTGTTACTAGGCTGACTGACATATCGGGGGGGAACAGGAACCCAGAGCTTGTGTTTTTGTGGGTTTTTTTAAACTATATCAGTTGGTCTATTAACAGATATAATCTCTCCCTCTAAGTCTTGCCACACTGCCATTCTTAGCCCATCCTCTCTATACCACCAGCATTATAGGTTTGTATACAGTTTTTATCCTTTGAATAGGAAGTCTGTCCTAAAAACAAAACATGTTTATATGCAAAGGTTTTTCAAAATATACCTGCAGTTTGTAAAGCTATTTTAAAATCAAAGCTTTTAAAATTGTGCATGGGGATCAAGCTTTATATTGAATGGTTTTCAGTGAATAACAGAACATACTTAACATTTAGTATAAAATTAAAGTAACACTACTTTCACGGCACGTCATAGCGCACATCTGCTAGCGCTCAACAACTTTTTTGTCAGAAACTTTTTCAGTCTCACTATCACAGACCTCTTTCTGTAGTTTTAAACACACACTACAAACCAAAATTGATTCTATGTACTAATAAACTGTATTTATTATTATTTAAGCTTATTGAACTGTGCATGTAAAAATTATGTAAAATTCTGTGAGAAGTTTTATAACCTTAAAGTACACCCTCATGAGACCAGTTTTACAGAAAGAACATGGTCAAAATGATCAACCATTCATACTTAACTATAAAGAAGAAAAAGCCCAATAGGATTAGACCAATGAAGAGACTTGAGTTGCGACACTCACTGTGATGATACCTAAAGTTTTAGACAAGTTGCTTGAAAGCAGAATCCACAGTGATGAACTAGCCATGGAGTGCATGGGCAGACTTGTGCAATCCCAAGTGGAATTTGGACAAGGTGCAAACAGCAAACTGAGTGGCAGCTACCTACACTGCTCCAGTCAGATGCTGTGGAAAAAATTAAATCCTTAACCTCCCCCTGGAATTTATCTCTCCTTGAAGCCCTTAAGTTAGAGGAAGATTCAAGCCTAAAAGGGACTTATGGATCTAGACACCCACATCATTAGGGGGTGTCTGAAAACTATTACAGTGCATTTTTTCTGCAAGTAAACTACAGGGTTACTCTTTTAAGATACCATGATGGTGGAGGAAGAGGTGACCAGCTTTTATGCAGCAGTTGCGAACACAGCCATCCAGATCACTGCATCTGACTGAGGTACCAGTTCTGAAGAGAGATGCTGTGGGGTCTTAGTCTCAAATTTGTTTCTGTACACACAACACTGAACTCCCACTTCTCTTGGACTGTGTATTGATAAAAGATGGACACTACCATACCATCTTATCTCCTAAAGAAAGTGAACTACCATCTGGATTTTTCATTTAGTACTGTCAAGGTGTGTTGTGTATGCTCCAAGTTCCCACGTGGGACTTGGATTAGTTTGCACACAGCCTGAAAATCTCAGATACTTTGCATCTCAGACGTTCAAGTTTTGAGAAGGAGTTTCAAGTTATGGAAGTGTTCGAGATGAGAAATTCAGAGCTCTATGGAATTTTGCTGATGAAAATGTGAATACCTATAACCACACAAATGCCCGAGAAAAGAACCATTATAAAAAAAGGCCTACAGACGTTTCTCTGGGATGTATCTCTGAGCACAGGTATCAGAGTTGTGCTGCACCCACTTATGTCTTTGCGGGATCCTGGCCCTTTTCGCTGCCTTTTCAGACTTGCCCCTGCAGACAGCGGTTTTACCGCCAAAACCTGAGCCCAGATTTTGCATCTCCCGATGCTGGGGGCGGAGTTCAGCGCGGAGCTGCCCGAGCTCCTCCGGCCCCGCACGGCCCCCGGGCCCGGGCCGCCCCGCCTCCCCC